CTGGCAATTCTATTGCTTGGCACTTTATCAAACAGTCTTAAGTCTGTTGTTATCCTCTTCATTACTACATTACAGAGTTTGTACAATATGCAGAATATGTACAAGTCCAGGACATTCATATATAACAAGTAAAACATGTTCCCAATGTTGATTTCAGAGGCATCTCCATTGCTCAGTTCTCTTAAGTCAGAATAATATTCATTCACCATCACTCTGTCTCACAATCCTTAATCGATTACATAACCAAGTTATGGCCATCTCTTTATTTTCACATGCTGGTGTTTTCTGACCAGTTTTGTTAAGTAGTTTCTTTTCAAAGGCCTTTGATGTAAAGTGTCTTTAACTTCATCAACAATTTGTGTTACTTAGTTAAAGAACTCTATCGTGGTATTGGCACATGATATGCCATGAACAAACTCTCTTATTAATCCATCCTTCAAGCGAGAATTAATTTTGTTCTTGGTAGTGTTATCTCAATTTTCCCAGCACTGGCATTAGACTGATGAGTGATTAACCTGCAGTTTCCAGTTTTATTGTCCCACTTTCTTTTGAATAGGCAATGCAGCCATGGAGCCCCATGTCACAATACGGCAAACATTGTGGTCCGAACTTCTGCTATTGCACAATATCATTCTTTACCAACCAAGCTACGTCATCCCAATAGAACTTCATACAGTTACCTTTTGAGTGATGCCCGACCTATTTAGCACCCTCTCTTTTTCAATTTTTATCCTATCCACTATCTTTAGTTCCTCTTCCTCTGCTGTAACATAAACTTTTATCCTCTTGTTTGTTTTCTTATATCCAGAAATCCTCTTATTCTTGACTGAACATTTATTTTTCATCACCAAATCACCCACAGTTGTTTTAATTTATTAACTACCCCAGTAAATCACTTATGTTCTCCAATTGTTTAAAGCCCATTAATGGCAATGAAAACCATCAAAGGTGAGGGAGAGGGGGAACGGAGCTAAATAAAAATGATGTTGAAATATCTTCTTCTTTGTGATTTAGGCAGAGAAAGAGATAGGTGTGAACAGTTTGTTTCCATTGATGTCAAGTGGGTTCTCTTGTGGTGCAGTGGTTGTGTTCCCCACCTCTGGACCAAGAGACCCCAGTTCACGTCCCACCTTCTCCAGAGGTAAGTAATAGTATCTCTGAATAGGCTGATTCAAAAATATAAGGGAAAGGAAAACGTGAGCAGCCTACACAATAACATGTGCCTTGCATTTTCCAAGATGAATTTCTTCTCTAAAGGACGCAAGTTTTCTAACTGACAATTTATATTGTTATTTGGAACTGAGTAAGATGAAATAACAATTTTGAATTTACAATTACAAATTGTTTCATTATGTAGTTTGTAAAACATTTAAATATTTTTCTCCTTGGACAAAGAAGATTGAGGCATTTAAAATGTTGAGGATTGAATGTTCAATAAGGTAGAGATGGAATAATTGTTTCTTCTGCTGTTGAAGCAGGAATAAAGGCCGTAAACATAAAACTGGATGAAATGTCAGAGACCTGAAATGTTAAGTCTGTTTTTCTCTGCACAGATGCTGCCAAATCTGCTGTGAAGATCCAGAATTAGCTGTTTCTATTAACTTTAATAATCGAGCCAGACCAATCAGGAAGCTGTTTTTCAGATGTTGTACTGGCATTTCGGAACTCCATCCATCAAAAGGCTGTGGATGCTGGGGGCTTGTTGGAGCTTACGAGACTGAGATTGGTAGATTTGTGTTGGGTTAAGATATCAAAAGTGGGAGGATAAAATTGAGGAGCAGGTCAGCTTTGATATGTTTAAATGGAACAGCATGTTCTCCTAACATTTTGGCATTGTTATCCATTGTCATTAGTGCTGAATAATAAACAGTGTATCTAATTAGAGTCACAGAGGTTTACAGCATGGAACCAGGCCCTTCATCCAAACTTGTTCATGCCGCCCAGTTTTTACAATTAAACTAGTCCCATTTGCCTGTAGTTGGTCCATATCCCTCCATACCTACCCCATCCATTCCTGTCCAAATGTTTCTTAAATGACAAAATTGTACTCACCCCCATCACAATCTCTGTCAGCCCATTCCAGACACTCACCACCCTCTGTGTGAAAAAAAATTGCACCTCTGGACCCCATTGTATCTCTCTCCTCCCACCTTAAACCTATGCCCTCGAGTTTTAGCCTCCCCTTCCAAGGGGTAAAACGGTTGGCTATCGACCTTATCTACAACTCTCATGATTTTATAGATCGCTAGAAGGTCACCCGTCAGTCTCCTGTACTCCAAGGTAAAAAGTCACAGCCTCCCTTATAGCTCAAACCTCCAGTCCAGGTAGTATCCCAATAAATCTTTTTTGCACGCTTACGTTCTCGCTAGTTTAATAGTATCCTTTCTAATTTTGTCAGATTTACACAAATGTCACAACTGAAAGCTCTGCCCATTATGTCTGTGCATTTAGACTTAGAGCAGCATCAGAGGAGCAAGAAAGGTGATGTTTCGGTCCGGGACCCTTCTTCAGAAATGTGGAGGGGGAAGGGAGCTTGGAAATAAATAGAGAGAGGAGAGGTGGGGCAGGGGAAGGTAGGTGGAATTATGATATGTAAATGCAGGTAGGGTGTGGTGGGGATTGGTCAGTGGGATGGGTGGGGCACATAGGTGGGAGAGAAGATGGACAGGTTGTGTCAGGTCAAGGGATCGGTGATGAGAGGGAGCATTGGACATGGGATGAGGCCGGGGGTAGGGAGATTTTAAAACTGGTGAATTCCATGTTTAGGCCATCGGGCTGTAGGCTCCCGAAGCGGAATATGAGGTGCTGCTCCTCCAGTTCGCAGGTGGTTTCATTGTGTCACTGGAAGAGGACCAGGATGGACATGTCACCCAGGGAGTGGGAGGGGGAGTTAAAATGGTTGGCGACTGGAAGGTGTTGTAATTTGTCACATACAGAATGCAGATGCTCTACAAAACGGTCTCTGAGTCTACGCTTGGTCTCACTGATGTAGAGGAGGCCACATCGGGAGCAGCGGATGCAGTAGACCAAGTTGACGAATGTACAGGTGAACCCCTGTCTGATATGGAAGGTTTGTTTTGGGCCTTGAATGGAGGTGAGGGGGGAGGTGTGGGGGCAGGTGTAGTACTTCCTGTGGTTGCAGGGAAAGGTGCTGGGTGTGTTGGGGTTAGTGGGGAGTGTGAAGCTGACGAGGGAGCGGTCCCTACAAAAGGGGTGGGGAGGGAAATATATCTTTGGTTGAGGGTTCGGATTGTAGGTGGTGGAAGTAGCGGAGAATAGTACGCTGGATGCAGAGTTTGGTGGCGTGGTATGTGAGGACCAGGGGGATTCTGTCTTTATTGTTGTTGCGGGGGGAAGGATTTTGAGGGCAGATGTGTGGGAAATGCAAGAGATGCGGTTGAGGGCATTTTTGATCACTAGAACTTGGTGTCATGTGATTTCTGAAATTGAATCAAGCCAGACAGATACACAAGCCATTCACCTTGATTGACGATTGAATGGGTTGTTGATGAGATAATGCCGCAAAGTTTTGGGTGGAACAATACATCTCAGTAGAAATGATAGTTTCAGTAGAACTTTTGTTTTTGAGACAGCTTAGCTCCTAGGTCAGCTGAATCAACAGGGGAAATTACACCATCCAATATAATCAGTTAAAAGAAGCCACTCAAATCAGAGGGGTCTCACACACAACCCCAGAGAACATTAACATCAAGAAGCAGGAACAGCCTCAACTCCAGTTTGATCAGCTATAAACAGATTAATATACATTTTCTAGCATCTTGCTTTCCCAAAGCAGATTTTAAACTAACATGTGGGCATTGACATTTAAGAGCTGTAAGGTTATTCAGGATCATAGAATCCCTATAGCATGGAAGCAGGCCATTTGGCCCATCGAGTCCATACCGACCCTCCAAATAGCATCCCACCCAGCTCCATCCCCGTACTCTATCCCTGTAACCCTGCATTTCCCATGGCTAATCCACCTAATCTGCACATCCCTGGACACTATGGGCAATTTAACATGGCCAATCTACCTAACCTGAACATCTTTGGACTGTGGGAGGAAACTGGAGCACCGAAAGGAAACCCACACAGACACGGGGAGAACATGCAAACTCCATACAGACAGTCATCCAAGGGTGAAATTGAACCCGGGTCCCTGGCGCTGTGAGGCAGCAGTGCTAGCCACTGAGCTACTGTGCTGCCCTCTATTAGAGGGCTATTAGAGGGCAAGGCTGGTTTTATAAAGTTGTATACAAAGATCAATCTTGTGTTTCAATGATAATAAACCACATCTCATTATTAGTGTAAAACGAGTCCCATTAAGTAAGCAAGTTGATCAGACCATGTGAAAAAGCTTACAGAGGAGGCACGTAGGGGTTTGGAGTTGGGCTTATGTAATGGTATCCCTGAAATACATTGAAATGTGTCAACCCTCAGCAGAGCGAGACTGAGCTGGGGAATATGGGCGTCGACGGGTGAAAACTATAATGCATTTCTCACTGTGGTGGTTGGATAATGATAAAAATATAGTTTAACCATCCAGAGTGTGTCAGAAAGCAAAACCTTCACCCTCATTGAAGAAGTTTTGAACGTGTAATTGCAGTGCGAAAAGAACTCCCTGCGAGCAACATTATATTCCAAACTTTTATTAACAAAGCATTACTGTCTGTCAGGAATAAGATACATTTCAAAAATAAACATTCATTCATTCATATCAATTTCTTTTATTAAAATGCATGTCAGCACCCAAAAAAACCCCTCTGAGCTTCCAACCCCATTCCTACCCAATATGAGTAGAATCTTACAACAGACCATATGGAAGCAGGCAACTTGCATTGATTAATTTTATTGAAAATGCAGGATGCCACCTTTTCTGTATATATGACCTGGAGCTTCTTTCCTGATACCTTCTTACATTAGTAAAAAAAGAAATATCACCAGCACCAACTGCACAAATGTCGGGGCTAATGATTCATAAAAGCGTATGAGAAAACCACTCACTCAGTTTCACAGTCGGTTTCTCCGTAGTGGATAGCATCGGCACAGGGCAAACAAGTCACCTGGTAACCACTGCTGTACGTCCCTGGGCTACACACCACGCAGCACTCAGCACATTTCGGGTGCTTCTTGTGGTCCTTGCCGTAGCCGGGCTTGCAGCGGTCGACCCTGACCACTTGCAATGTGCCGTCAATGTAGTAGACGAACGGCAGCAGGCCGGTGATCTGGCGGTAGGTGTCCGCCTGCTTGTTGAAGAAGGCTTCCACCCGGTGGCGCACTTTCTCGAGCCGCAGGTTGTGATCACACTCCTCCAGGTCTTTCTCGCAGATGGCGTCCAGTGCTTCCACATCCAGGTGCACTTTGAGTGTGAGGAACAGCTCGTACTGTATGCCCGCCAAGGGCACCTTCAGCGTGTGGCATTCCGATTTATGTATACTGATCGTGTAGGCCAAGTCCGACACTAGCTGGTTCAAAGCCGTGTGCAACCTTTTTAGGAAGAGACTGTTGTACGAATTGTGACAGTCAGCAGCATGGTATTGGGCCTGAAATTCATAGGTGTAATTGGGGTCACGGTACGCATACAAGAAATACTTAAGACTCAAAGACTGCAAGGCTTTAGTGCTCGGATTGTAGAAGAAAATGGTGCATATGTAGACCCCTGATAATTCCTTGCTGAAGTTATCAATGGTCAGGGTACCAGTCTGTGTTATCTTTATGTTAGGTTTGTCTGAAAGGTCTTTCCCCTTTGGACCTTTCCAAGTGAAACTGGGATCCATGAGCTCCATGTTCCTTAGCTGCGGAGTTGCACAGAGAATCCGCGGACTGATGTCGTGCAATTTGATGTAGACCTTTACAGGGCCATCATCAGAGCCAATCACCTTGCTTCCCGCAGATTTGTGCCTGAGCTGCTTTCTCTTAGTGTGATGTTCGACTTGCTGAAATACCTCAATGTTGGTGGCAGTCATTCCAAGCACGGCATCTAAGATCAGCCCATACACAATGAGGTATTTGACGATGGGCATCAGAGGGAATAACTTCTCCATTTCCTCCTTTATTCATCCTGTCTTCATTTTGCCCCTATGCTCTCTGAAGATGAAGGACCCACCAATTGTCTGATGTCAGTATCGTCCCTCTGTCACAATTGCCACAGTTGTAAAGTCACATGGTGTCTTGTGACATCAAAAGGGACCCTTACTGTCATAGTTATAGCTGCAGTTCTGGAACTGTTGGAAAACTAGAATTCAGCCATAGTTTGGGAATCTACTCGTTTGGTGCGTCATAATTGTAAAGTCGGTCAGTGAGCCAGAACCTAGTATTAATGGTGAAAGGATCTTAGCTCCTCCAATCTTTCAGTTATTAGATGGAATTGGCTTCATATGGACATCAACCATTTGTACCAGAAACCCTCAGAGTTTGCCAGGGAAGATCAACAAAGGGCAGCGCTGGGTGAGTTACCATTATATGCAGGGCTCTGATCCAGAAACAAAAAGGACACAGACCACTTTCTACTTGTGACAATGATGACCCCATTGGAAAGTTTTACGTGTGGCCCTTGAGTGAGATCAGAATGGGGCTGACTGTTGTTACTTGGAGTTGCACATGGAGAATGGTTAGCGCTTGGAGCTGAGTCAATACATTTAGAAGAGAGAGTAAAGAAATCTCTCAACTTTTCAAACCAACGATCCCAATATGTCTACAATGGAAGGTACAGCTTCCTGCTACATAGGAGGAACTGGGTACCTCTGAAGGCCCAAGTTAAGTAGATCTAGTTATCTCTGTATTCCACATTGTTCATACCTTATGCCATCGCATCAATTGGTGATTCGGAAGGGTAGTGAAAATCAGTTATGGAAAAACAGTGCACTCGCCAGATATCTATATAAAAACCAAATACTGCAGATGCTGGAAAACTGAACTAAAGACATAATGTGCTGAAAATCTTCTGCAAGTCTGGCAGCATTTGTGGAGAGAGGACAGTTAACTATTGACTATATTTCTGCTTCAAAACTGATTATTCAGGGCTACACAGAGAGAACAGTGTTGAGTACAGCAGGTTCGGATAGAGACAGGTCAGAGTGCGTGAGGGGAACAGAGAAGTTAAAAAAAACCAGCTGGTTCACTAATGTCGTTTAGGGAAGGAAATCTGCTTTCCTTATCTGCTGTGGTCTACGTGTGATTCCAGAGACACAGCAATGTGGGTGACACTTAACTGTACTCTGCAAGCCCCTCAGTTCAAGGGCAACATATATTGGCTTCTAAGACGGAATAAAAAGGTACATCATCTTTCTGTTTGTGCTTGTTTGTTCAGAAGAATCTGGTTCTTCTGATGGTGTGATGAATTTCAAGTTCTCATCTCCATTTATTAGTGAAGGTCCCAGTGGTTCCTTGGCGAGGATGGTTACTGCATTCTGAAATCCTCGTTGTATTAAATTTTAGACATGGTTGCAAACAATTTATAACAAAATTGCACACTCTAGCAGCAAGAGTCTGTTTGTTAGTCGTGACTGTGAACGGCATTTTCATTGCCCAGTGAAGTGGCAAATGCAAGCTGTTCACTGCTTCCTTGTGAAAATTAATTTTAAAATAATCATAAATAGTTGATGTTATCTTTTGTTTATTTCCCTTTGCCCCAAACAAATCCATAACAGAGAGGGCACAGCCAGAGACCCTTAGCATGCTGCTAGGAGACAGTGTGCACTCTGTCTGTAAAGTGTTGCTCTTTCTCATTCTGCGGCTACATGGATCATTTTACCTGAAAACATCACCAAGATCTAGACCTTGTGTTGAGGTTTGTGTTCCTGCTTTCAGTTGGTAAAATTCTCAGGTCATCTACATTTCTGGTGTATTTTAGCATGCCGCCCCAATTTGAAATCAACTGGAAAAAACTTCCAAGAAAATCACACAAGGAGAGCAAATTAGTTGATCAAGGTTTTGCGTAATCTTGGCGATTTTCCGCACTCACCCCCTGTAGCATCATTGCTGCAGAAATACCCAAAGTCGACGTGACCTGACTATTGTACTTGTTTGATACTTATGAAGCTTGTTTTTTGAAACACAAAATCTCCATGTTCTCACACGAGGAACATCTGACTCATAATTAGAGTCATACAGCCTTAAAGCACGGAAACAGACCCTTCGGCCCAACTCGTCCATGCTGACTCGTCCCATTTGCCCGCACATCTAACTACTTCTTGAATGTAATGAAAGCTTTTGCTTCTATCACCCTTTCAGATTCCCACCACTCGAGGTGAAAAACATTTTTCTCACATTCCCTCTAAAACTCCTGCTCGTATCCTTAAGTCTTTGCCCCCTCTGCTGATCGATCCCCTCAACAAGAGGAAAAGTTCCTTCCTATCGACTTTATCTATGCCCCTCATAATTTTATACATCTCAATCGTATCTTCCCCCAGTCTTCCCTACTGCAAGGAAAACAACCCCAGTCTATACAATCTCTCTTCATACCTAAAATTATTCAGCTCAAGCAACATCCTGATAAATCTCCTCTGCACACTCTCCAATACAACCACTTTCCTCCTATGATGTGGATTCCAGAACTGCACACAATACTCTCACTGTGGCCTAACCAACAGTTTATACAGTTACAGCAAAACTTCCCTGTCCTTAAACTCTATGCCTCAACTAATAAAGGCAAGTATACCATATGCCTTCTTAATTGCCTTCTGGTAAGATGGCAGCAGGTTAACTCACTCCATTCAGAACTCCACTCGGTTCAACAGTCCTCTTTCTCTTTCCTTCTTTGTCCTTTCTTTTCTCCCTTCTTCTCTCTCCCTTTGTAGTAATTCTATCCCCACCCCCAACCCCTTTTAACTACCTACCTAAAGAGTCGGGAAGAAGCTGGGTCATGACTGGGAATCACGTGGCGGGAGCTGAAC